ACCCAGCTGTGGTGTGTCCGACTAGCTATGCGTGTCCAATCATAGGTGTCCAACCATTCGTTTTTTTATGTCAGTTTGTAATCACAGTTATAGATCGAACCTCACGAAATTTTGCATGGAACTAGAGAAGGGCCAGAATAGAAACTTGTTGTTTTTTAATATATTCGCCAAATATTAGAGGGATATAACTGGGCCAAAAAACTGAATTTGTCTTGACCATCGTCGCGGGTTTAAGTTAAGGACAGGGCAGATGGCAATGATTTTGGACGGTCGGTCTAAAATTATGTTTTGCATAAAATTATACAAAATACGACTTTAATCCTAAAATGTATTCGTATATTAATAAATTCCTGGAGTTTAGGCAAGATTTACAATATTGATGTATTCTAAGGTACATAGAACAATTCTATGGTAAATCATTTCGTAGAATATTCCGACTTGTTACGATCCCGCCTAAGAAAGTTTTCATTCATTTTTTGTTACAAGGACTAACAAGAATTCTCGAAAAGTATGCGAACTGAAGAAAATATCGCAGCTGTGTTGGTCACTGTTAATTATCAATTATCGACTCGATATTTGCCCCACCACTTGCTCCGCCACCGATGATCGTCTTAAAAAAAAAACAGAGTTTGTGCCAAAATTGTTAATTTTATGTATTTTTTGAAGAACACTACTGTCTTTGAGTGTCCACATGACAGCAGCATCGGCACTATCGCCATAAGAATGGTCGTGATTTATGTCCATGTATTTTTGTGAACAAAATACAGGTCGGATTTATTATCCGATTGAGATGAATTTTTCCAAACAATATTTGTTTCGCTCAAGGATGAACCCTATTGCAATTGGTGAAAATCGGTTTAAATGTAGATATAGCTTCTATTTATATCTTCAACCGAATTCGGGTTAATTGTGCACCAAATGGCCAATAACCTGACCAAATGAATGACCAAACGACCTGAATTCTGGCATCTGTCTAGAAGCAAGTACATAAAATTTGCTGAAAATCGGTTTAGATATAGATATAGCTCCCATATATATTTATCCGATATGGTGTTTAAGACCCTCACATTCGTAATATCCATTCGACAACAATGATATTTGGTACCAAATATCTTATAGAGCTCGGAAATACCTCTCTAAAATTTTATAAAGATCGGTTCAGATTTGGATATAGCTTCCATATATATCTACAACCGATTTCAGGTTAATAGTGCACCAAATGGTCAATATCTTCCCAAATTTTGGTACATTTGACCGAATTCAGTCTAGAAGCAGGTACATCAAGTTTGGAAAAAATCGGTTCAGATATAGCTATAGCTCCCACATACAGGTTCCATCCGTTTTGATTTTTAAGTCCCTCAAATTCGTAATATCCATCCGACAGAAATAATATTTGATATCTACCAAATTTTATCGAGATCTGCTAACATTTCGATATAGCCCCTAAATATCCTTAATCCGATTTTAGGTTTATTGTGCAAATAAGGCCTAATATCAGCCCAAATGGAGTGAATTCCGGGACGTACGTTTCTATTTTGTGGAGCTCGGCTCCGATATATATTTCCTAAATATAATCCTTCTCGAAGTGATATCATGCAGTCTATAGAAATGTTATTTGGTGTAAAAGATAAAAAAGTCTCCGTCAAATTTACTGAAACGCGATTAAAAATTGGATATGACTCCCATATATTTGTTCTCTCTGAAACCATACTATACCTGCTCTAAAGCTAAATGTCAATAGATGGTATGATCTACTTCAAATAAATTATTTTGTTACGGTAGCTATACTAAATATGCCTTGTGGTGTAGGGTATCATATAGTCAGACCACCCGACTTTTGACTTGTCCTTGCTGTTTTTTTTTAAATTATTTTTATACCCTCCACCATAGTATGGAGGGTATATTAACTTTGTCATTCCGTTTGTAACTCCTCGAAATATTCATGTCCGACCCAACAGAGTATATATATTCTTGATCAGCGTAAAGTTCTAAGTCAATTTAGCCATTTCCGTCTGCCTGTCCGTCTGTCTGTTGTAATTACGCTATCTCTCAAACGAATTGAGATAGACGACTAAAATTTTGCACGCATGTTTATTTTTCCAGTAGACATGTAGGTCCCATGTAGGTCCACGTTTTCGTATAGCCCCCATATAACGGTACCTCCCGATATTCGGTATTTTCATAATTTGATCGACAGTATTCACCGGAATTGTTTCAAATTTGGTATTTGAAGTTTGAAATGGATACTACAGCCTAAGACAGAAAATTATCTGTGCAGGTCCAGGTGTTCGTATATCCCCCATATAATGGTACCTCCCTATATTCGGTATTTTGATGATTTTATGGACAATTTTAGCCGGAATTGTTTCAAATTTGATATTTGAAGTTCGTAATGGCTACTACAGTCTATAATAGCATCATTATTCACCGTAGTTGTTTCAAATTACGTATTTAGAGTTCGTAATGGGAACTACAGTCTGTGACAGAAAATTGTCTATGCAGGTCCACGTGTTTGTATTACCCCCACATAACTGTACCCCCCGATATTCGGTATTTTGATGATTTTATGATTTGATTTTTCAAATTTGATATTTGAAGTTCGTAATGGATACTACAGCCTAAGACGGAAAATTGTCAGTGCAGGATACTACAGCCTAAGGCAGAAAATTGTCTGTGCAGGTCCACGTCTTCGTATAGCCCCCATATAACGGTACCTCCCAATATTCGGTATTTTGATGATTTTATCGTCATTATTCACCGTAGTTGTTTCAAATTATGTATTTAGAGTTCGTAATGGGAACTGCAGTCTGTGACAGAAAATTGTCTATGCAGGTCCTGGTGTTCGTATAGGCCCCATATATCAGTACATCCCCATATTCGGTTTTTGACGATTTTAGGTACAATACTCACCGTATTTGAAGTTCGTAATGGATGCTACAGCCTGTATTTCATGTTTCGAATTTGAATATGGTAATGGCTTATGACAAACAAAGCCTTTGTAGGTCCACGTCGTATAGACCAGGTATTTTTAAGATTTTAATAGAATTTTTAACGGATTTTATTTTTTGAAAATTTTCAATTTATTTCCAAATGGTGGAGGTTATTCAAAGTTCGCCCCGGCCGAAATTACTGCTTTTTAACTTGTTAAATGGCAATTCTTGTTTTTTTTTTCAAAGTCAACAAAGAAGTCGAAGTCGTAAATAAAATTGGTTAAAGTCTGAAAAAAATGGCTCGACGCTGCAGGTCTGGGTCACTTGCCCAACATACCATATATACCGTTCTGGTGTAGTTTAAAACCTCTGCACAACGTTATTGGTAATTAAAGTGCATGTTCTATAGGTAATAAAATAAATAAATCATATCAGCATATCCATCTCTGCATGTTCTGCAATTTACCTTGTCAAAGTTCACAGCATAGAAAACCGGTTCCCATCTCTGTATATTTTTGTATATAAATACAATGTATTTATAAATAAACATTTTGACAATGAGAATTGTAAACATAATTCTGCCACGAATATGTTTATGAATAAAAATATATTTTTTAACAAAAACTCTTGTTTTCTTTCTTCCGAACTTCCTACGTCAAGCATTGCCAACATACTGAGTTATAAACTACATATATTGGAATGTGTAACAAATTTAAAAATCTCTACTCTCCAGCTGTGCATAGAGAATAATGACCGGAAATACATTCGCTTAGACTGAAATTACATTCATATGTTTGAAAAGGCCCACCAAACTTATAGTAATTTAAAAAAAATAACGTTACAAAAAAATGTCATTTTGTTTACAACATCATAGTGTCACATTTTTATGCTAATATCCCCTCACTGAGGGAGAGAATTAGTGAGAAAGAGTGAGAGAGAGAAAAACAAAACAAAATTAGGATAGGTATGAACTTTGTGTGTGACCTTGACAGAAATATCATCATCAGAAATAAATGCATTGTGCAAGCCTTCATATTACAGAGCGATGAACTGGGAACCCTAACGCATTTCAAAGAAACTATTAAAATTATTTGTAAATTATTTATGAAAATTAGTTAATTTTTATTTAATAGGCGACGAACAACGCAACCCAAAGCCAGAGAACCTTATACCAGTCGGCCAATTCAATTCATTATGAATGGAAAGAAATGAAGCAAAGCAAGCATGCGTGTGTGTGTGTGCGTGCGTGTTTGAGTTGTAGAAAGACAGTGGCTAAGCGATACCACTTGTAATGACACACGTTTTGGCCCAGCTCACAAACATGTTGACCAAGGTTAGTGAATCAAACACTTTTTTGTGGTACAAACAGAGGCTGTGAATGAGTGTGTGTGTGTGCGACCTATCATTAATGTGTGTTGAGAGGGGGGGCATCGATTAATGATGATCTGCATCTTGTTACCATGGATGCGAATAATGTGTTTAGATGCCGATGCTGTTGTTAAAATCTGACCACAATTTGTCTGGCGGAATTTCGTTGTAAGTCATCTGGTGGCTGGTGTTGGTGGCGGCAAATTCGTCTTGAGTTGTGGCTTTTGTTTGGATTGTTTTTGTTGCTGCTGTTTATGTTGGGGCTGACAAGTTTGCTTAAAATATGCAAAAATTTTGAAAACTATTTTTGAACAGCATCAAAAGCCGGTCGCTCCATCCATTCCGCTCCGTCCATCGGCAATTGAGCATTTGTTTGTGTGTGTGTCTGTGTGTAAAAACAAAACTTGAAAAGAAATTTTGAAATACTTATTATAAGTTTGGATGAACCTGAAACCTCTTGCTCTGGATTGGCTGAAACCCTGCTGCGTTCCGTTTGCCCGCTCGATGAAGAAATAAACGCATATCCAAAACATTAATACGTTTTTAAGTAAATGATTGTTCCCAGCAATCTTTTGGCCTACTCGCAGAGATCCAAAGGGAGAGCGAAAAAAAGAGAATTGCTTTGCCAAAGATCGAAGCCAAAAAAAAACTGGAGGGTCCCATATAAATGTAGAGAAATATTAGAAAGTCAAATCATTCCATAGTTTACAGTTTACAAGTTCAGTCAGTTTTTTACACGAATCCCCAAACACCCCAAGCGGAAACTGAACTGAGATGAAGGTAAGATGGACACTTTGGCTGACATATTGGAGGATACACAGGTCTAACTGGATACTCTTTTGCAGATATTAGTTTGTTTAATGGCCGCAGTTTGCATCTGTGATGCGACTTTTTTGAAGCTGTTTGGCGGCAGTAGTGCCGGAGCCAGTAGCGGTGGTAGCAGTTTCAATGCAGTGGCCACACCTTCGGTAGGTGGTCATGGAGGATCATCATCGGCTCATGGCCATGGTGGCAGTTATGGCGGTGGTCATGGTGCCAGTTATGGTGGTGGTCATGGTTCCAGTTATGGCGGTGGTCATGCTTACAGTTACGGCGGTGGTCATGGTTCCAGTTACAGCAGTTACGGCGCTTCACATGGTTCCTCCTATGCCCATGACTATGGTTATTCACATGGCTCGGGACATGCTGCGGCTGGTGGTGCTGGTGGCGATGCCAAGATTTTCAAAGTCATTATTGAGCATGGCGGTCATGATCAAGGCCATGGTCATGATCACGGACATGGTCATGCAGCTGAGACCATTGCAATCGCCCACGATCATTCTTATGGCGCTGGCGCTGCCGATGCTGCTGTTATAGGTCAGGCCTATAGCTATGGTGGCGCCCAATTTGCTGACCATGGTCACGGTCATGGTGATGGTGGCCAAGCTCAGATCTTCAAAGTTATTACTGAAGATGGTGGACATGGTTACTCCGGCGGTGGTGGTGGTGCTGCCTATGATCAAGGTCACTCATATGCCTCTGGCTATTCTCATGGCAGTGGCAGCAATGCCGGTGCATACAATGCTCAATTGAAGCAAATTCTGCCACAAATTCTACAATTGGTTTTGCAAGACGATCATGGATTTGGCGGTGGTTTTGGTGGCGGAGCAGGAGGTGGGGCTGGTGGTGTTGCTGATATCAATGGCCAGCTAATTGCTCATTTTGGTGAAAAAGGCAGCGCTGTGGTTACACGCAGCAAGGGAGGACAAAACAGTTATTTCAGCGGCGGACATGTCGTACAAAAAGGCGAACTTAAAATAACTCGCGTTGAACAGGGTCCCAGTCAAGGTTCCGGTTCCGGCAAAGCTGGTCTCCTACAGAGTCTTTTGGGCCAGGGTGGTGCCCAACAGTCATCTCCCCATGGTCCACCATCACATGGTCCCCCACCACATGGTCCTCCATCACATGGTCCTCCACCACATGGTCCCCCATCCCATGGACCCCCATCCCATGGTTGGTAAACCATTTAGTCAAAGTCATTTAGTGTCGCATTACAACCATTTTTATGTGTAAGTCTAGGTCATTTTTAAATTATATCTTCATTATTAGGAATAAAAGTATTTTTTTATTTATTTATAATTTAATTAAATAAATAATAGAAATGTATTCAAATTAATTAAAATTCGAAAAGTACTCTTTTTAATGTTTTAAATTTAGCTTTTTTTGTTAGTAAGTTGTTGTTATGACATTATGATTGCTCAAGTCTGGAGTATTCTCCCTCTTGACTTAACTTCATATTACTCTTTATTACAGAGAGCAATATTTTTCAAAAGCGAAACTGACAGCTTTGCAATATTTGCTGATATGTCACTTGGCTTTATCAGCTTTGATATGACGACTTGGGTGGAAAATGAATGAGAATCACACTCACTCCTTGCCTTTTCCGGAAAGAGAAGTGAGTTTTTAAAAGAGAATGCTTTTGAAGACATTTAATCCTTGTTTATACCATCCGACATACAGGGTGAGATAAAAAAACTGCCATAAAGTCAAACGCCATAATTTTTCAATTTTTATTAAATTTTATTGAATGAAAGGAAAAAAAGTCGGAAATAGCATCAAATTTTAGAATAAGTATAGATTTGTTCGAATTTGTCACCTTTAGCACCAATTATGGCCTTCAAACGGCCAATGAAACCGTCACACGCTGCCTGAATGTTGCTCTGCGGTATTTTGGCCAATTACCGGCGAAGCGCTTGCTTGAGGTGATCGACACTTTGGTATTTTTTAGTGCCTATCTTGCTTTCCAAAATACCCCAAACACAATAGTCCAACGGATTGGTATCCGGAGATTTTTGTGGCCATTGTGCGCTGGAAATAAGGCGAGGAACCTCACTTTTTAACCATTCTTGGGTGGCGCGTGCTGAGTACGATGGTGCTGAGTCTTGTTGGAATGTCCAAGGTCTGCGTCCAAAATATTTAATATTAATAATAATATTTAAATATTTAAATCACCCTCCAGAATATTTTCGCGATAATATTCGGCATTTATTCTGATGCCACGGTCGATTAATATGAGCGGAGAGCGACCATCGGCTGTTATGGCGGCTCACACCATCACATTGGCCGGCGCTTGAGTTCTGGTGGCTAATCGAAGGTGCACATTTTCAGCTGACCTCTTTGGAAAGTAAACACGATCATTTTGCTTGTTTTGCATTTTGCAAACTGATGGACAACGAATGTTTTCTCATCGGAGAAAACCAAATTCGGCAGTTCACCACATTCGGCCTTCCTTTTGTTGCGGTGTAAGTTCTTGCACTTTTTGGAATTTCAATGGCTTTACCTCGAGCTCCTTTTTCAATATTTCCCGAATGGAATATTGCGATATGTTCAGCTCACGAGCAATTTAGCATATAAATTGTCTGAAAATCCACAAAAGAAGTTCCTTCTGCGTACTTTACCCCCTGGAAGAGTATTGTCCACAATATCGTATGTCCCTCATATAACGGTACCTCCCTATATTCGGTATTTCGATGATTTTAACTAAATTTTTCAATGGAGTTTGTCAGAAAATTCTTTCTAGAAGTTCTTTCTAAGCACTTTACCCCCTAGAAGGGAAATGCCTATATAGGTCCAGGTTCCAAATGGTGAAGGTATTCATAGTTCGGCCCGACCGAACTTACTGCTTTTTTAGATGTTTTCATTAATACTCATTTTTCTTGTCCGTATATTTTTCGCCGATTTAGGGTCTATATAAGCACTACTTTTCAAGTTTTTTTATAATTGCAAAACCTTGTAGACCTACATTGGGTTTCAATTTAAAAAATTCAAAATCTCTAAAACTTGTTGGAAGCTTGTTTGAGAGTAGTTAATATATCAACAAAGATTCTGACTGTTTCATATTACATCTGAGTTGGTTCAAAATTGAGGCCGTACCCTTCGCAGTGGCGAATATAATTTAATGTTTGAAGATGGTCCGGTCTCTAACACCTATATAACAGATCTTGCGTTGATGGGAATATTGCGATGTGCCAAGTCTGAGTGTTATTGTGTTAATTTCCCGTTTTATGAGCTCCATGGATGTTCAAAATGTTGACCCTTTGTGGGGGAGGTACAAGAAGGAGTTGACCGATATATTCCATCTTCACAGCAGAAGATGGGTTGATAAACGTATTGTAATGTATGTAATTTAAAGACAATCGGATTCTTACATCACATTTTATATGAGTAATAATTATTCAAAATGTTGACCCTTTGTAGAGCAGGTACTTGATAGAGTGAACCGATATTGTCCATTTTCCTACTTGACCTAGAACTGATTCAAATATTTGGATTTGCAAAGATGTAGCAAAATATTTTTTGTGGACCGGGAGAAGTGGACCGATATACCATCTCCGAAATCTGATAAAAATATTACGATGTACCAAGTTTGGACCAAATCGGATACTCCCTTCGAGAGTTATCGTGCGCACCAGCCAGACAGACAGACGGACGGACGTCGTTAGATCGACTCCAAATGTCCTGAAACGGATTTGGTCCAAATTGACCTAGGGTGTAAAACCGTTATTTAGATGAGGCACGTATTGGTCGTATCAAATGATATATACCCCCTCTAGCCATATGGCTTAGGGTATAATTATACACTTTTTAGAAATAAGCAGGAAAAACAAGGGAAAGAGCCTCCAATCCTCATCAGCTCTTTCCGAAACCTAGGTATTCCCTGCCTTACCCCCTGGTAAACATTACCATCGTTCTCCACTAATAAACGAACGTTGTTTTTATAAAAACAACATTAAAGGGATAAAACCTGACCATTTTGCAACAACAAAATAAGCAGTTTAGAAACATTTCTTCTTCACTTTTAATTTAATAAACAAATTCCAAAATTGTTCTTTTAGTGAAAATTAATTATTTTGTTTTTATTTTTGGACAGATTGCTATGACACTATGGCATTACTTACGAAAACAAATTTCCTTATTGTTGTTGTCGAACTATATTTGTTGTTCTTTTGCTTTTGCCTACTAATTATACCATGGTTAGAGGGTATAAACATTAATTAATTTCTTAATCTATTGGACGCATATGAAATATTTTATGCATTAAATAAAATGCCTAAATGTGCAGCATACTTTTAGGCGAACATTTAAATTTTTCCTTTTGGAATAGTAAGAAAAAGTATTCTTTTTAGTAAGATAACAATTTTAAATTATTGAGAACAACAAAAAACTTTAATTGGAATAATGATACAAGGATTAATACAATTTATAATAATAATGCATATGAAATAATGCATAAAAAAATCATATTATCCAATTAGTTTCTTAAGATAACACAATTTATTTAATAGTTAAAATTGTCTGTTTTTTTTTTTGAATTATTTTAATTCTGGATATTGTTAGCTAAAATTAAAGCGGAGAAAAGTGCACATTTCTATAAAGTATGCACTAAATTACAACAAAGATAAAAACTACAAGAATATTTTACACAAAATATTTTACACAATTCACATATTTTTATTTTTGCAGAAATTTGCCGAAAACGGCACTTATCGTTAGGTTATTTTATAATTTGGATGAGTTTTCCAAAAATGTAGAAACTATGGAGTTATATGTAAGTTCTTTTTTTTTGTAAAGTTTAATTTTTGCCGTGGTCTAGAGAAGAGGATGGATTGAGAACCATAAACCCGAGACCGAAATATCCAAATTTTTCATCTTTAAGTGACGTTGCCGGGTTGACTGGCGTTTTGAGAGGCTATGTCACTCATTGGCATTTCGGTTGACACTCACTCATTGGCATTTCGGTTGAAAATACCGGTCTTAAAGATCAAAACATGGGTTTATAAAAGAAGCTGAAATATGTCCCAATAAAACGAAGGAAACAAGAAGAAAAAACAAGTAAAAAAGTAGATAAGTTCGGCCGAACTTTTTTCTACTCTCCACCATTTGGAAGAAGCTTGAAAAATTAAAAAAAAAAATAAGTCGAAAAATACCGCTCAAATGAAAACCGTTATATGGGGGGCTATACGAAGACGTGGGCCTGCATAAGTGCAGGCTGTGCTAACGGTTTGAACTATATGTACGAAATTTGAAACAATTCCGGTGAATAATGTCGCAAAAATCATGAAAATACCGAAAATCGGGGGTACTGTTATATGGGCCCTATACTAAAACGTGGACCTATTTAGACTATTCTCTTCTAGTGGGTAAAGTACTCAAAAGGAACCCCTTGAGTCGATTTTCCATTTAAAAAATTTGGCTGAAATCATCAAAATACCGAATCTCGGGGGTACCGTTATATGGGAGGTACGATATCGTTTACCCATATATACAATTCTCATCTAGGGAATAAAGTACTCACAAGGAACTCCTTGTGAGGATCTTCAGACAATTCGGTTGAAAAATGTGGATAAAATCATCAAAATACCGAATATCGGGAGGAACCGTTATACGGAGGATATATGATATCGTGGACATACAGACACTTCTCTTCCAGGGGGTTATGTACTCACAAGGAACTCCTTTTGTGGATTTTAAGACAATTTCATTGACAAATTTTGGCTAAAATCTTCAAAATACCATTCGTTTAGTATTTGACCTACAAAATCAGATACGGATTATATATTTCTTTGGTATTGTTGTCATAGAAAATAAATTGTCAATTGAAGGTTTAAGTCAGTGCAGACTACTTTTAGAATTTTCTCGAATAGAACAGTGTGGCTTGTTTGTTCGGGATACCGTAGTATTTTGTTGTTGCAAAATGGCAGGCTTTATCCCTTTATTGTTGTTTTTATAAAAACAACGTTTGTTTATTAGTGGAGAACGATGATAATGTTTACCAGGGGGTAACGTAAATATATGTTTCGAATTCTATCGGAATGATCAAATTAAGCTATCAACCGTTCGTTTTTATACTTTCCACCATAGTATGGAGGGTATATTAAGTTTGTCATTCCGTTTGTAACACCTTGAAATATACATTTTAGACCCCACAAAGTATATATATTCTTGATCAGCATAAAATTCTATGTCGATCTAGTAATGTCCGTCTGTGGAAATCACTCTAGCTTCCGAACGAAATGAAGTAGGTTGATAGAATTTTACTCAAATGTGTATTATGTCTGCAGGATTTTTGGTATTGAAAATGGACCATCTAGGTCCACGTCTTCGTATAGCCCCCATATAACG